GTGTGACGCTGGGAGAGCTGCCAGGGAATAGGGCGTCTGGGTGGTGCAGCCGGACAGAGCCGCGCACTGAGCAGATGTGCAGTGTGACGCTGGGAGAGCTGCCAGGGAATAGGGCGTCTGGGTGGTGCAGCCGGACAGAGCCGCGCACTGAGCAGATGTGCAGTGTGACGCTGGGAGAGCTGCCAGGGAATAGGGCGTCTGGGTGGTGCAGCCGGCTGCGGCCCCACTGGCCATCTGCTCTTGGAGGAGCAGGCTGCTCGGTGCCAGACATCTCACTCTGCTTTGGTTTGTGGTCCGATTCCCGTGTGATTTCTGCTGGAATGGAGTTAGAGATTGTTAATCAGGTTAAAATAAGAGGCAGTGGGACGGTGTGTGTGTGTGTGTGTGTGTGTGTGTGGTTATGTGTGTGTGTGTCTGTATGTATGCTTGTGTGTGAGAGTGTGTGTGGTTATGTGTGTGTGTGAATGGTTGTGTGTGTGTGTGTGTGTGTGTGTGTGTGTCAACCAGGGTTTAAAAATGCTTTGTTTAAATATAGAGTGGTCTCTTAATTTTTCCCATAGCTGTATATGTTTGCTTCACTCTATTTTAACTGTTATTCATCTTATAGTAAAAGGCTTTGAGGCAACAAAGTAATACATGTGAAATATAGCCAAGAGAAATGTTCACCATCTCAGAATTTTCCAGATTTCAGACTCTTCAGAATAGCCCCCTTTTGCTGTGATGACAGCATTGCAGACTCCTGACATTCTTCCAGCCAGCTTCCAGATGTAGCCACCTGGAATGCTTCTCCAACAGTCCTGAAGGAGTTTCCACAAGTTCTGGGCACAAGTTGGCTTCCTTGCTATTACTTTTTGATCCAACTCATGCCAAACCACTTCTGCATGGTTCAGGTCGGGGGGTTGTGGGGCGCCGGGTCATCTGTCACAATCACGTGACCTTGAGCTGTGCTTGGGGCCACTGTAATTTCCAGTAGGTGTTGCCAGACCTTTGACAGCTGCTGTGTTTCCCTGTGCGCTGCAGGTGGACATTAAGAACCAGGGTAAGACGGCGCTGCAGGTGGCTGCGCACCAAGGCCACATGGAGGTGGTGAAGGTCCTGCTCCAGGCCACCAGCAACATCGAGGTGAAGGACGAGGATGGCGACACCGCACTGCACTACACAGCCTTCGGGTGAGGGCCTGTCACACGGCCCCGGGGCCATCGGTGGCTTAAATGAGGAGGGGGGGGTCACCAAAATGACCTTAGATAGCGGAGGAGCAGTAAATAAACACCACCGCTTCCTGTCAGACGAGACAGGAGGCTGCTGTCCCCTGGGTGGGTGGGTGGATGTTTTGTTTACATCCCCTCACTTTTAGAGATCCCATAATTCCACTCTCTCTAACATTGACATCCTCCTCCATCTGCTGGTTTAGCATGTGCTTTTCCACCAATAGGTGGCGTGAGCAGTTGTTGTTGGTGTTCAGTGTAGTCGCCTCTGCTTACCTCCCCGCTACCCCTCCTCCCCCCCACCCCGGTGTTGTGCAGGAACCAGGCGGAGATTGCGAGGCTGCTGCTTAGCAAGGGAGCTAAGGTGAATCTCCTGAACAACTCTATGTGCACCGCCCTGCACATTGCCGTCAACAAGGGCTTCACCGACGTGGTGCGGGTGCTCCTGGAGCATGCAGCCGACGTCAACCTGCAGGTGAGGCCATGTCACCAAGGGTTTGCTATGTCTGTGCCAGTCTACTGCGGCACTGAGGGTTTACCATGTCCGGGCTGCTATACTGTGGAGCCAAGGGGTTTGCTGTGTCCATGCTGGCCTACTGCATAGCCAAGGGTTTGCCGTGTCCGCGCAGGCCTACCACGGCACCAGTGGTTTACTCTGTCTCTGCTGGCCTACTGTGGAACTGAGGGTTTGCAGTGTCCATGCAAGCCTACTGTGGAGCCAAGGGTTTGCAGTGTCCATGCAGGGCTACTGCGGAACTGAGGGTTTGCAGTGTACGTGCAGGCCTACTGGGAAGTCGGGGCTTTGCTGTGTCTGTGCAGGCCTACTGCGAAGCTGAGGGTTTGCCGTGTCCGTGCAGACTTATCGTGGTACTGAGGGTTTACTGTGTCCATGTCAGCCAACTGTGGAGCTAAGGGTTTACTGTGTCTGTGCAAGCCTACGGCTGTACTGAGGGTTTACTGTATCCATGCCGGCATACCGTGGCGCTGAGGGTTTTACTGTGTCCGTGCCAGTCTACCGCAGCGCTGAGGTTTCGCTATGTTCATGCCTACTGTGGAGCCAAAGGTTTGCAGTGTCCATGCAGGCTTACTGCGCAGCCGAGGGTTTGCAGTGTCCATGCAGGCTTACTGCGCAGCCGAGGGTTTGCAGTGTCCATGCAGGCTTACTGCGCAGCCGAGGGTTTGCAGTGTCCATGCAGGCTTACTGTGGAGCCAAAGGTTTGCAGTGTCCATGCAGGTCTACCGTGGCACCAAGGGTTTGCAGTGTCCATGCAGGCCTACCGTGGCACCAAGGGTTTGCAGTGTCCATGCAGGCCTACCGTGGCACCAAGGGTTTACAGTGTCCATGCAGGCCTACTGTGGCACCGAGGGTTTACTGTGTCCGTGCCGGCCTACTGCGGAGTCGAGGGTTTACTGTGTCCGTGCCGGCCTACTGCGGAGTCGAGGGTTTACTGTGTCTGTGCCGGCCTACTGCGGAGTCGAGGGTTTACTGTGTCTGTGCCGGCCTACTGCGGAGTCGAGGGTTTACTGTGTCTGTGCCGGCCTACGGCTGTACTGAGGGTTTACTGTATCCGTGCCGGCATACCGTGGTGCTGAGGGTTTTACTGTGTCCGTGCCAGGTGATCCAGAGGGGAACTACTCCAGTCTCATATCAGACTCTTCAGCTAGATGATACATTTATGTGCATCTCTGGTTCTCTAAATCAGTGTTTCTCAAGCCGATCTTTTAGGACCGCAAAGAGTCCACATTTTTGCTCCTGTCAGATGCTGCCAGGGAGCTGGGAGGGAGCAAAAACGTGAACCGTCTGGGGATCCTCGAGGAGCGGGCTGTTAAACTCTGCTCTAAACCATAATGATAACAAATCTTTTCTTTTTCTCATTTGAATCAAAATAGGTGAATTTTGCAGCTTTTTTGTGCTAAATTTAAATATTTGATCTGAATTTCCCTATCATGAGTGACGCATTATTGAATTTTACACTATACATATACATACATTTGCAGTACATATATATGCACAGTGGAAATGACTTATCTAAAAATGATTTGTATTTGGCCTCAGGAACATCCCTCTTACGGGTCCAGCAGAAGTTAGTAAGCATACTGGGACTCCACTTGCCATGATATCGTTTTTCCATATTAGAGAGCCAGCAGCCTTCTCTCACATGTCCAAACAGTCTTACAGTACTTTGCGCAGTTTAGTAAACTCATACATTATTACCACGGAATTATATGTTATGAATTTAGCCTAAGAATGATGTCACTCAAAACCTATGGGTGATGTCTGAAATGAGCCTTCAAAAATACACACAAGACGAGGCTTAGTTATTCTGAGACAGAATCTTTATTGAACAGTGTAATCTGTCTGTTGTACTGACCAAGTGCTATGCAGATATTTTTTTGTGTTCTGTGTGGTGATACGCCGTGACGGTGCGTATAGTGAGGGTGTGAAGCATGCAGGACACCATAAGGGCGAGCCCAGGTCCTTCAGAGGGAGAAACGTGAGGTGGCACAACAGGGATATCAGAGCCCTCGGTGCCCTCCCATCCACCATCTCGCCTTACCCTGGTCTCCTGCATGGCTGCCAGCCGCCACAGTCTCTCTTAGGGGGATTTATTTATTTTATTTATGATTATTTGTCATTGTTGACACACCACAGCACCCAGTGCACAACAACGAAATGTGTCCTCTGCATTTAACCCATATGTGACTTTCGTGACATAGCAGGGGGCAGCTAATTCAGCGCCCGGGGAGCAGTGCTTGGGGGCGGTACCTTGCTCAGGGTACCTCAGTGGTGTCTTGTTGGTCGGGGATTTGAACCTGCAATCTTCCGATTACGAGTGCGCTTCCCTAACCATTAAGCCACCACTGCCACTGTAACACGCCCAAGTTGGGAGAGGTTGGCTCCACTCGAGTGGCAAGAAGCTCTGCTCGGCCGTAAGCATGGTCTAGGGGTGGTGTCAGATTTTCGATCCCCCTTCTCCCCAAGTGGACTCATGCCCGCTCCCCGTCTCGCAGCGAGCTGGTGCCGGCCTGCACTGCTCTCCGGCACTGCCGGACACTGGAATGGCGCCAAGATGACTTACTTTGTGATCATGTTTAGCCTAAACGGCGAAGAATTCCCAGCTGAAACTGGATACTCCCAGCTCCATCTGTCATTTTATTTGACTAAATAAAATTTCAATGACTTTTTTCATTGAATTGTGAGGTTCTCGTGGGACCTTTAGGGCTGGACAGGATGATTGTTTTCTTAAGGCTCTGCACCTTCTATACTGGTTTAAAAACACTAAACATGCTGAACCCTACATGGGAAGAATGCCGATTTCTCTGCTGCTGGTGGGCGTCACTGTTATTCACCACGAAAAGAAAGCGCAGTGGGATTTAATTGAAAATATTTGCATCTGAGGAGCTTATCAACTCATTGTTTGTCTCTGTTCAAAAATAGGCTTGTTTGGTCTTGAGAATTTCTGCGTGGGAAGTAGAGATCTATCAGCAGAGATGACTTTGCTAATGTAGGGCTTCATTGTTTGAGATTTCTGGATGAACATTTAGTCCATTGGACACACACGAGTTAGCGGTGTCCAGCAGACGTGTGGTGTGGCGGGGCGGGGGGGGGGGGGGGATCTATGGGAGTGGCTTCCTCTTTTGCCCGAACAATTGAAAGTGCCCCCCCTTTGAGGTCCTGAGTGGCCGTTTCAGTCATACAGATTTTCACTGAGAGGGAATCCCTCTCTGGTTGGCCAATTTTACCATGTGTGGTAGAGTAGTAGCTACACTGGGCTCAGCATTGTGGAAAAACAATAAAATGATTTAAAATGAGGCCAGAAGCATGATCCAAGCGCTCATCTCCCCAGGACTCCTACGGAGACACGCCACTGCATGACGCCATCGCCAAGGACTTCCGGAACATCATTGAAATCCTCACTGTCGTGCCCAACATCGACTTCACCCAGCAAAACAACCGAGGCTTCAACCTGCTGCACCATGCTTCACTGAAGGGCAACAAGCTGTGAGTACCCATAATGCCAGGCTGTAAGGCTGGCATACAGGTGGTTATCTAGCCGGTGGCGTGCAGCCAAGCTCTCTCCCACCAGTGAGCAGTGGTTCTTCTGGGAAGTCGCCCACATGTGGCCACAAACTCCAAATGATTGTTGACATTCTCATCTTCGGGAAATTGTAAAACTGAAAAGACTCCTGTGGCTAACAGATCTTGTTTGTAGAAATACTTTTTCAGATTAAGTTCGTTTACCAAAGAGAGAGATAGTAGTAATGATGATGAAGCAGGTCATGGTAAAATTAAAACTATATATACAATTAAATCAAGAAATGATAGTTCTTATCTCTGCAGACTGAATGTGGCACAAACCTGAATCTGATTCGATTGATGTAGCATGAGACAGAATGGCACAGTCGTTTTCCCCAACAGGATATTGTAATGTTTACTTTTTAATGGTGCTGCACATTATTATATAATCTGGCTTGACATGTGCACTGACTGACCGGGTTGCATTTTAATGAAAGTAAACGAGGACATGAGAAAATGGGAGCGAGCTTTCCCCCCCGCATGCGCTTTCCCCCCCGCACTGAGTTCAGCTCCACTCCTGTGCCGCTGATATATTTGTACCTGATCCCGGTTTAATCTGAAAGCCCAGACACTGTATCCGTCTCTCTGGCTGTGAATGCCAGCTTCGCGGGGGGCTTCGCGGGGGGCTTGTGAATCCTGTGTGCTGGAGCCAAACCGATAATTGAATGAGGAGCAGAATCCATTCATGTTGCCCCTGATCCGGCTGGCGGGGGCTCCGTAAATTCCGTTTTTGTTTGACGGTGGGAGATTTTATGTTATCTGGTTGCTGGGTTATTTTCCTTAAAGCTGAATGCTTTCCTGAAGCTGTATTTGAACCGCGGTGCTGGGGAAGCAGCCTGCTTTGGCCTTGGCTGGAGCAGGGAGTCTGACTGGGACTAAAATCGTCTTTGCGGATAGTAAGGACAGGTTGTCTCCATTTAGTGTCTCTATTATTACTGTTGTTGCTAACCAGATTGTTTAACTGGAAGAAAGTGAAGCACCTCTTAGGTCTGATACCTTCCTGGCATGATGATTCCTGGTAAGTCCCGCTCCCTCTGATCGACCTTGCGGCGCAGACAGACGGGGTTTCTGAGCTGCCTGCTTGATTTGGTGTTGCGTTGACCTGCCTTAATGGTTACCTAGGTAACCAGCAGGGAAATCTGAAGATGTTGCTATAGAGGAATAATGTAATTATTTCTATTTGTAGACAAGAAAATGACAGAGCTTTCGGTGTGTTGGGCCGTAGGATACAGGGCCCTGTGTCTACTGGGGGGGGGGGGTGGACGCAGACACATCACTCTGCGCTTGTTTATAGAGCAACAGAGAGGGGCAATGCAGGGGAGAGCCGGGCAAGCAGCTTATCTGTGGGGGGAGACGTGGGCCGTGCAGCCCCCGCGTGCCCTCGCCCTCCCAGGTCCTGCTGGGGGGGGAGGACTGAGCAGTGACCTTGTGAACCACACCAGGTGTTATCTTTCACTGTTGTCTTAGCTCCCAGATCTTTATTTTCGTTTTCTTGGGTTTGTGTGTGTTTGCTTCTGTGGATCTTGTCGCCAGGAACCTTCACGTTTATTTCGGTTTACTTTCATGAAGAAATACTTGGTTTTTTTTTTGGGCCGCAATGTTATGTTTACGGAAAAAAATTGAGTATTATGGGTTCATCATACTGCTTGAGAAGTGGACAGGGGGGGGATTTTAGGGAAGGGCAGGAGCCTCTTTGTGACAGTGTGTCCCACAGCCATCGCCAAGCCCCACCCCCTCACGCCCACGGACCCCTCCCCCCCAACTAATCTGCCCTCCGCCTCAGCTAAGTAAACAACCTGCGGGGGGGCCAGCGCGTTGGGCACGCTCGGACTGTGTGTATAACAGAGACGACATACGCAGGAGCGACCACATGCTGGCAGATACAGGCACACTGCGGGCCACACACACGTTTAGGCCTTATTGTGTGCTATTCCGTCATCCTTCACAGTGCAAACAGCCTGAAATGGATGCTGCCTGTTCACTTCAGCGTTCTCAAGTAAAGCTTTAACCCCCCCTTAAGCAATGAATTAAACATTAACTAACTAATTAAAGCAAATTAAAAACAGCTAATCTGTATAATCACCGTGCTCTTCCCCCTATTGGGCTCTTCCCCCCCTCAGCCGCAGTGCGGGTACAGTGTGGGTACAGTGTCCTGCGGGACACCTGCACTTCCAGGGGCTACTTAAAACATTCTAATGTCTGCTGCCTCCGGTCTGCGGCAGAAGGGAAACAGAAGCAGGGTGTGGTTAGGTGTGGTAGGCAGGGGAGGGTGCACTGGCAGTGGAGGGGCCGGCAGTGGAGGGGGTGGTGTCAGGGGAGGGGCCAGTGACGGGGAGGGGCCGGCAGTAGAGACACAATCAGATGCATTCAGGGAGTGTGAGGTGGTACAGTAATTTTTTTCTTTTGGACGGGGTGGGGTGGTTATTACATGGTGTGCAGGCCCAGGCTGTCGGGGGGGGTAAACTGTGCCCATTGTGACATTTGGTACACAAGGGATTGCTGGGCAGGGGCCAGTTCCTGTGGAATGCGAGGGTTTCAGACCAATCCCTCCCCTCCCCCCTGCCAAGGACTTCCTGCAGCCCCCCCTCCCCGGTTTGGCCTTCATTCTGCACGCCGAGCTCAGACACAGGCGTGTAAGTCAGACGTCATTTCTGTAACTACTTGCCAGTTACTAAAGACCCTTCATACCATAAAAAAGGGCAGAATAAACCGACAGTGTGAAAGGCGATAAGATAGAGAGGAAGGCAAGAGGGTTTGTTATATTAGAAGGACAGGGGACGTCAGGGCTGGGTCACGCGACAGCTCCTCACCACACAGAACTGCACATGAAATCCTGTTAGCCGTGCTGTGGAGATCCTGGCTGCATCATAAATTACGGGGTGCTGTAGGTGGGAAATTGCCCCCCCCCCCCCGCTTTAGCCCCAAGGGTGTGAGATAGGAGCACAGGACATTTTAATGGCGCTGTGTTTCTGGTTTCTGTGCATGGCAGGATTTCAGGCCCACTGTATCCAGCTCAGCTATAACAAAGCAGCTTTAAGATCTAGCTTGAGCGTCAGCTTGGAAAATTAGCTGGGGTTGCTAAGTACTGCCTCCTGCTGGCTGGCATGTTAACATGGTCTCCAAAAGACATAGACCTGAGTACCTTATCATGCTGATTACCAGGATAACATGGTCTCCAAAAGACA